TGATTAATAACAACTGCGTCACTTTTTCAATTATTTATAGTTACATTTATTGTTCCGGAACTTCTGCAAAACAAATCAGGGCCTTAATGGAAAACGGCTCGACAGTTACAAAGCCCTGACACCGGAGACTCCTTCCACAAATGTAACAGAAAGCGTCACCATATCAATTATTACAGTTTTTCTTCGTTAAATAATAACATTTCTTAAACATCTGTTTGTTATTAGGCTTAGATAATCCAGAGCGTTCGGTATACAAGTCCTTGTGAACAAGCTGTTACTATAGAAACAATCTTTCAGGCAAAAAAAAAAAACCCTTATCAGAGCCGCTGGTTCAGAAGTAAAATCTTGCTATCAGATAAAATTAATAAATACTGTAAGTCCATGAAAATGATACATATTGTTATACACACGTTTATTCATTCTCCTTATCTCCTGAGAGAGTGTCTGCCTTTAAGTTTTTACCCCCGACTCTATAACCGTTTGTACTATAGTTTTAAGTCCACTGTTTATTTCTGGATCTCTAACCTAATGTTAAATGTGACTTCTGTTGCATTTTTTAAAGATTTCTTGTGTTTCAGTACGGTCTGTGTCAGCGATGATACCTCTCCCTCACTCACTGAGGTGTCAAAACATGTTAAAGGCAGGGCAGGGAACAAAATGGAGCCAAAACGGTGATTTTTCATCATGTTTGCTTGGTTGGCAGAATTCAGACGCGCCAACATCCAACTGGTTTTCCCAAACCCCCCCCCCCGATATATTATCAGTATGGAAAATGCTGTGTTCACTCTTCATTTTTTTTTTCCACCTTATTCATCAAAGAGTTAACAGAGACGACAGAATGGCCTTGTAAAAACATTTGGGCTTTCGCTTTCCTTAACCACCAGCTCGATGATCACAATAACGCAGCTTTTAATAGACACATTACATGTCAGGTTGGTTACGCCACACTGAGAACAGATCGGTTTCAGAGATAAAGTGCTGTTACAGGACGTTCTCAGGACAACAGCAAAAGTCAGACATTCTTTAGGAGGCTATTTAAAACAAACATCTGTGTTTTATTCCATTTCTTTCACTTCATTTTCAATGAAGACAGCATTCTCGGCTGACGTATTCTTACTGTTAGGAAGGAAATATTTTAAAGGCTCAACATACGAAGCCTTTTTTTTGTTTCAGTAATCTTTTTAACATGCCCTAGCCAATTGCCCTTGGGGCGAATCAACCTCTTTGTCTTGAGGGCCGTTCCTGCATTAGCCCGAGTGATGTTTGTTAGATGAACCAGTGGAGATAACATCAATGAAACCCAACGTAAACGGGTTGGGTTCTTGCCCAGAAATGATTGAGCTCTAATATCATTTCCATTCTATTTAAATGCCAGGCAGATGTTTTAAGTATAAACCTGGAGGAAACCCCCGAAGCATGGGGAGAACATGCAAACTCCACGCACACAGAGCGTAGAGTTAGATTCGAATTCCCCACCCTGGAGGTGTGAGGGGAAAACATACGAAACACTAAGCCGTCTTATAATCTAGTAGATATGTTCCAGAGCAAGAGAATTAAAATCCGCTTGGAGACTCAGATAAAGCAGGAAGTGTCCTAATCCTGTTTTTACACCGTGTTGTTTTTTAACACTTAACATCACACTTCTCCGCTCAGTTTGTTCATCAAGTGTGATTGACTGTACAGTACAGGAGGTGTTACACGCTTCTGAGTCATCAGAGGAAGATGATAAACAAAGCTTAAAGACTATATTATGTACCATTTTATATAACGCCCTGTTTTTATTGTCCTCATTACCTTACATTACATTATACACACACACACACACACACACACACCTGGTAAAATATAATATTAAATTTGTGTATTAAATAAGTGTAAAGGTGTTTTTGTTTTGATTTTTGTTTGTTTTTCTCTTCGTTTCCCATGTTCATGTAGACACACTCTTCTTCTGAGGTCATCAGGAGACGTCCCATTTTATCTCATGTCCTGTTTTTATTGTCCTCATAAATTCAACAAATTTACCACAGGTCAATGCACATGTACACACACACATGCACTCAAACACACACACACACACACTCTCTCTCTCTCATACGCACACACATAGTCTCTCACACACTCTCTCATACACAAACACACGCTCTCTATCACGCACACACACACATACGCACACACTCTCTCTCACGCACACACACACACACACACACACACACACACACACACACACACACACACTCTCTCTCTCACACATACACACTCTCTCTCTCATACGCACACACACTCTCTCTCACGACACACACACACACACACACACACACTCTCTCTCACACATACTCTCTCTCTCACGCACACACACTCTCTCTCACACACACACACACTCTCTCTCTCTCTCTCACACATACACACTCTCTCTCTCATACGCACACACACTCTCTCTCATACGCACACACACTCTCTCACACACATACTCTCTCTCATACACACACTCTCTCTCTCACGCTCACACACACACACACACGCTCTCTCTCTCACACGTACACACTCTCTCTCATACGCATACACACTCTCTCTCTCTCATACGCACACACACTCTCTCTCACACACATACTCTCTCTCTCATACACAAACACACACTCTCTCTCTCACACACAAACACACACTCTCTGCCAGCATTTAGGAAATAAAGGTGGCAAAGGTGAGGACGTGAATGCGAAGTTAAATGTGTGATCTTATTTGATTAGAACAATCTGTTCTTCAAATCACACCAACCTCCATGCATGACTTGTTTTGGAAGGTGTGACAGGGTTGTTTGTTGGTTTGTTTGTTGGTTAATAGATAGTCAGACAGATATATAGTCAAACAACAATTTGAAAACAATACAAACAACACTGTGCCCATAATTTCTAATGTTGCTTTTTGGGTCAAATAGTGAAGTCCTTGTTTAGTTTTGTTTAGGTACCACTGTGCTGCCTGTCATTTAACGTTGTTCCTCATTCTCTAATTCATTATAAGATGTTCGTCATCGCTCGCGTCATTTCCCTCCCGTGTCCAATTATTACCGAACGTCTCCTGCTGCTCATTTAATTATTATCCTCCCAGGAGACTCATGCCGGATGTGCATCATCATACACAGGTTATAACGTACTCCAACGACTCCATTGTTAATCGTTATTAAAACCAATTTAGAAAACCGACTCTGGATGTACAGTATTTTTGACATTCAGGTCAACGATGAAGTTCGTCGAAATGTGAGCGGACCTAAAAGCAAGCCCAATTTCCATTCTTTTGTAGGAAAGGGGTTGAGAAAATCCAGACGATAAGGTAAAAGGAAATAGACAATGGGATAAAGAAAACAAGTTCCCCATTCCGGCTTGCCAAAACTCTATCTGTCATCTGGACCTCGGAAGCACACAACAGCGCGAATAGAAAAGCTGTTTTACTCACAAAGCCGGGTTGGGACGGCAGAACCCTTTTCATGATGAGTACAGTATGTGGTGTTCTGAGACACTCAGCAGGGACTCATGCACACATGCATGAGTTATTCACTCAATGAATAATACATCCGAGTAGAAAGTGATCCAGACTCTGTGTTTCCCCCCCCTACACAGCCTGAAATCAGATCTCCACCGCCTGCGTCATCATGTATCCATCAGGGCTGTAAAAGTGCACTATAAGCACAATGAGTCTGCTAGTGAACACATTTCACAACAAAAAGAAATTTGGAATACGGGTCAAAGTGGACGAGTAACGTAGAACAGAGTGGCAGAGACAGAACGCGCTCAAACCCCGACGGAGCTCATTGTTCTTCTCGGCTGAATCCTACACGCGCATTTCACCCCTCCTTCCTCCTCCTCCTCCTCTTCCTCCTCCACAAGTCGTCATGTGTTGACAATGACAGCTTTGTAAATGTCCGTGAGAGCACAACGTTCAATTCTCAGCTTTAAATTGAAGTCATGGGCGACATGCTGGAGCTTCAGGGTTCAAGTTTCAATCCTGGGCTGTGTCTGTGTGGAAATTTCCTGAGCATGTTCTCTCTGTTTATATATGGGATTCATCACACCTCCCAAAAACAAGCAGGTGCTAAAACATGCTATGATAAAGTACCCTAGATGATATTATTATTATTATTATTATTATTATTATTATTATTATTATTATTAACAGATGCACCGAAATAAAAATTCTTGGCCGAAGCCGAATATAATGTAAAACTTGGCCGAATACTGAACACATTTTTTTTTCAAGGGAAGTGTTCACATGTTCAAGGGAAATGTCTCTGGAAGATCGTCATTTTGCCAGAAAATCATGCACCATGCCTGGGGAAGCCCAATACTGAGCCCCCTTATGGAGTTCAGTTTAAGGGAAATGTCTCTGGAATTTAATGAAAAACTTTGGCCGAAAAGTTTTTTCGCCTTTTTTCCCCGTTTATTTAGCCATTTATTTCACTATTGCATAAATGAAACAGTTAAATAGTTAATAGTGCTTTTTTACTATTTTGTCTTGCTTTTCATATAAAATAAATAAATAAATCAATTACAAAAACTACAATTTCAAAAGATATAAGTGCTTTAAAAAGTGCATTGACAAGAGTGCAGGAAATGGTTCTATTCGGTTCTACACGGCTGATTATATTGGGGATATATAGCGCTCGTGCCTCTGTACACCTCGCGGAGTATTATAGTAGATATAGTAGAGTTAGATACATTGTTAATGTTACGTTCCCTTAAATAAATACGTCTTTACGTCTCTACTCCCTTACGTCTCGCGACGTTGCAGAATACTCTGGGACGGAAACAAAACAAAACAAACGCACGTGTCCACAGCAAACAATGTCACGTGTCAACAAGTGAAATTCGCACGTCTCACTCTGGTTGCTAGGCTATTTGGTCGCGTCATCAAACACCAGTCCATCGTAGGGCACAATCACATACACACTACAGACACGCCAATCAGCCTACCATGCATGTCTTTGGAACATGCAAACTTCAAACACACAGGGGGGCCACGGCGGGAATCGAGCCCTGGACCCTGGAGGTGTGATTCGAACATGCTAACCACTAAGCCACCGTGCCATTCCTTCTTCTAGAAGACAGTCTAATCATCGGTACAATGCACAAATGAAGAAATAGAAAAAATAGAATCACAAGCTTAGAGGTGAGCATGTTCGCCTCACGCCTCCAGGGTTGGGGGTTCGAATCCTGTCTCCGCCCTGTGTGCGTGGAGTTTCCGCCCTATGCTTTGGGGGTTTCCTCCGGGTTCCCCGGGTTTCCTTCCCCAGTCCAGCACTGTAGGCTGATGTGTGTAGGATAAGTGGTTAGGAACATGGATCGCTGGAATGATGAACCTCGCAAATCTTCCAAGACTCAGAGAATATGTCCACACCTAATGGTAAGATTTTATATTTAATATTTTATATATAATTTATATATATATAAAAAAAAATTTGCATACTATTCTGATTGGTTCTTCATACAGTTTAGTGATGAAGCAGTTCTGAAGGCTGTCGTTTTGAATCCCAGATCCAGTTTGTACAGAAATATTGTAGTCGTACAAACTGAAAGTTTGGGAATTGTGTCAAAATTTTACTGAGTTAAAAGATTAAAAAGGGTCCACACTTAAAATGTAGTGTATATCACTTTGTTAAATATAGGTGTGCAACAATTATTGCCACCCCTATGAATTCATATCAAGTATATTCCCATTGATATTTTACCTTTTTCTTGTAAACCTGGGTGACTAGGAACAGGAACTTGTTCAACCGAGACTTCCTGTTTCACAGGGGTATAAATATGAGGTAACACATAGGCCAAATTGTCTTAGTCATTCATAACAATGGGTAAGAGTGAGGAATATAGCTGTGATGCGCAGCAAAAGGTTGTTGAGCTTCACAAAATGGGACGTGGCTATAAGAAAATAGCACAAGCTTTGAAAATGCCAATTTCCACCATCAGGGCAATGATTAAGAAGTTCCAGTCAACTGGAAATTTTATGAATCGACCTGGAATTGGACGTGTGTCTATATCGTCTCAACGCACTGTGAAGAGAACGGTTCGAGTGGATAAAAAATCTCCAAGGATCACAGCTGGAGAACTGCAGAAGTTAGTTGTGTCTTGGGGAAAGAAAGTCTCCAAAACTACAATCCGAAGTCACCTACATCACTACAAGCTGTTTGGAAGGGTTTCAAGAAAAAAAACCTCTACTCTCATCCAAGAACAAACTCGAGCGTCTTCAGTTCCCCAGACACTTCTGGAACTTCAAATGGGATCGGGTTCTACGGTCAGATGAAACCAAAATAGAGCTTTTTGGTAATAAACACCAGGAGGTGGTTTTGGCACACACAGAGAGGTAGCCATATAGAAAAGTACCTCATGTCCATGGTTAAATATGATGGTTATATTTTGGTGGCTCTTTAATTTTTTGGGACTGTTTTTCTGAATAAAAGATCGAAAGATATTAGATAAAGATAAAGACAATTTTTCACAGCCTTCTTTGCTCTTATTTACCAAGCGTGCCAATATTAGTGTAGGCCACTGCACTTACATCACGAAAAGGGTTCTGCCATCCCAACCTGGCTTTGTGAGTAAAACAGCTTTTCTACTCGCGCTGTTGTGTGCTTGCGAGGTCCAGATGACCAATAGAGTTTTGGCAAGCCGGAATGGGGAACTTCGTTTCTTTATCTTTATCTATTTCCTCTCACCTTATCGTCTGGATTTTCTCAACCCCTTTCCTACAAAAGAATGGAAATTGGGCTTGCTTTTAGGTCCGGTCACATTTCGACGAACTTCATCGTTGACCTGAATGTCAAAAATACTGTACATCCAGAGTCGGTTTCCTAAATTGGTTTTAATAACGATTTCCAGCGGAGTCGTTGGAGTCGTACGTTATAAGTTGTTTGATATCCACGAGAGCAGAGTATTTTTGTGAATTTTCTTAACAAAAGATCAAAAGGTTAAACAATAAAGACAATTTTCCCCATCTCTCTTTGCTCCTGTTTACCAAGAGCGCCAATAACGAACTTTGATGTAAATATTGTGCGATTATAAGTGCTCAGATGTAGAAATTAAATAAAATGTAAGTCGCTCTCTAGAAGAGCGTCTGCCAAATGTCGTAAATAAATAAATAAACGTATCAAACGTAATGAAATCATTCATACCTGTACTTAGGAAAATTAATTATTTAACATCACTTAAATATCACCAAATCCTTCTAAAGTGCTACAGAAGTAATGTAACAAAGTACAAGGACTTCTTAAGTGGTCATTTGTTAACAAACCATATTGCAAATAGATATGAAATATACAAGTATTAACGTTTATAGACAGTAAACACTGAGGGGGAAACAGTGGTGAGGGTCAAGGGAGGAAGCAAAGAAAGCATTAAATTTAACATTTGTAATTATTTTTTATTTACAATTAGACGTTTTCAGGGTAAATGTGCGGACCAAATTTTAAACGCTGACGTGTCTGGTGTTTTTCCGTTCGTTTTTAATAATCTGGAACACTTCGGTTGATCCATTAATGTGCCCCAGAGTGGATTTCTGGGAAAAAGAACACTTGAGGAACTCATTTTTTTAGGAAGTAGTTTTAGGATGCTTTTTCCCCTTCTAAAGAACACTTACTACTTTCATCTAAATGTATTTTTGGAGTCGATGTTTCAGCCTGATGGGTTTTATTACTCCACAAATACTCCCTTACCTTCATTCACCGGTTTATTAAGCGTGTAATTCAGTATATCTACACTGAAACTGTAACTGTAAGGCTAATTCATTTAGGTCTAGACATGGTAGTTTTTCAGTTTTTAGGGGTTTGCATAATCTGCCTGAGTACAGCAATGACGTGATCCATTTTCCTTCCTCCGCTACCGCTCATTTGAAACTGACAGTGTTTTCTCTCCAGGCAAATTTTCATGCAAAGCAAGCCAGAGGAAACCATTCTTCTGGAACAAGAGACATGAACATGCAAGAGGTTTGGCCACTTCAAAACCTCACCCACTTTGTAGAATTTATGATTTTTTTTTTTTTTTTGTATCATCAGTGGCGATTTAAGCAAAGGAATGAAATCATGTCTCCATGAGCACGGCACAACATTCGGAAAGAAGGACCGGGACGGTGAATAAATAAATATATAAGAAATGAGTATAGGTTAATGTTTCCTCAAGATCACGTGCATTGTAATCAATTTGAGGAAGCGAAACATACTTCCGATTATTTTTGTCGGTTTTCATTCATCCATGTCAATCTAGAATCGAGTGAGGGTTCATCTAAACCATCTTGAACGTCTGATTCATACCTTCAACAATAGACAACAGATGTCATCGAAACGTGATTTGAAGAAAAGGAAAAAAACAAAACAAACGTGTGAACAATCGGAATGCATTCATGCTGGAGAGGTGTGTGCACCTGGTGGACGTACCTCAAAGAGTGGAGGTGTGTGGAGATTCTTGGAAGCTCATCCCAGCCGGACAGGCGGAAACACGAGGACGGGAGCACGAGCATGGGAGTAGATCCACATCTCCTTCCAGCCCTCCTGTCCTGCCCCTTGACTGGCGTCGCTTTCAGCCTCCTAACACAGAGCACTCATGCTCTCTGCTTTCCTGTTGTTTAGGATCAGGTTGTGTGGGATCCTTTCACTCCCAAACCTGTCTCTCACAGCACCTGACGTGATTTTAAACCACACCTCCTCACTCTCACTCGATCTCTCTCACACAGAATCTGTCTGTCCCGCTCTCTTCCAGTTTCACCTCCACTGCCTGTGAACTCCCCCAAAAAAAACAACAACAACAAAAACCTCAACTAGTCCCTGTAGCGTCAGATCTGCTGCACCGCTGGGAATTGCTTTTGTCACTGTGTGTGTGTAAAGGTGGGGGGTGTGGTAAAAAGGCAAACAGAGCACAAGAGCAAGTGAGACAGACAACAAGCGTGAGAGCGAGAGCGAGAGAGTGAAGGGGAGAAAAGAAAAGAGGGAGGAGGGCCTGGTGTCTATTCGGTAAACACACAGAGCACCATTGAGAGCAGAGCATGGAGTCCAAGTCTGAGCTGAAATCTGATTGATAGGCTTGTAAGCCACCTTGAATCCACTGAGAATTACAGAAAGCCTGAGCGCACCCACGAACAAAGTCGTTCATTGTACCATTTGGATTACATTTGAAAATCTCTTCTCTTTTTTTATTTATTATTATTTTTTTTTATAAATATGAAGCAACTTACAAGCCACAAGCAGAGCACACACTCCAGACCACAAGCAAGTGCATCACAATTGTAGGAAGAATTAAGGAGCTACAAATGATGTATTCAGGATACAATAATAAGGTAACATGAGTAACTGCAACAAAATGGGTTTGTGGTAAATGGTGGTCACACTGGATGAGATGATACAAGCCTGGATATAACACCAGATCATGATACATGCTCATGGGAAAATGGTGCTTTTGACACTGATGTGTCTTGAGGTTTTTCTTACGTAAGGAAGAGAACACTTGAGGCGACATAATCAAGGACTCGGATAAAACCAAGGTCCAGATGATTGTAAAAAAGGTTACATTATACTTAGCAAATTATGCTTGCGTTTATGATGTTATGGAACATCTCGGCCATATCGGTTCCTGATATAAAGTTGTTTCCTCATCAACCCGTTATTTATTTTTTTTCTTATCTCTTGACGAAGATTAAAACAATACAGCTATTCATGTTACCGTAAGACACTCCATCGCGAAGTCTTTCCTGTGGTGGAGAATTTAAAGGTACAGCTTTATCTCTGACTGTTACAAAGCACTGAGACTGGAGACTCCTTCCAAAAAATGCTTCCTCTCACATCGACTGTTGGTAAATGGTCTGAACTTTACACTGTCTCATTCACCCGTCCGCACACACTCACACACCAAAGGTGGTAGAGCTGCCATGCAAGGCGATAACTTGCCAATCGGGAGCACCTCAGGGTTCAGTATCTTGCCCAAGGACACTTCGGTATGTGGAGTCGCGTGGGCCGGGAATCGAACCGCCAACCCTGAGGTTAGGTGAGGAGGTCTGGGGTGCAGTCGGCGTTCCAGATGATCCCGGAGATGTTCAGTGGGGTTGA